CAATCTACACCAGAACCACTGGGCCACAATCTACACCAGAACCACTGGGCCACAATCTACACCAGAACCACTGGGCCACAATCTACACCAGAACCACCGGGCCACAATCTACACCAGAACCACCGGGCCACAATCTACACCAGAACCACCGGGCCACAAACTACACAAGAACCACTGGGCCACAATCTACACCAGAACCACTGGGCCACAATCTACACCAGAACCACCGGGCCACAATCTACACCAGAACCACCGGGCCACAATCTACACCAGAACCACTGGGCCACAATCTACACCAGATCCACTGGGCCACAATCTACACCAGAACCACCGGGCCACAATCTACACCAGAACCACCGGGCCACAATCTACACCAGAACCACTGGGCCACAATCTACACCAGAACCACTGGGCCACAATCTACACCAGATCCACTGGGCCACAATCTACACCAGAACCACTGGGCCACAATCTACACCAGATCCACTGGGCCACAATCTACACCAGAACCACTGTTTGCACAAGTTTAGAAATACAGTGTTGTGGTGAACAGTTTACACATCTCTTACACAAAGCTCTTCCCTGGTACCATATCTTCTGTTTCAGCCTATGTCTAATATAACTCCAAGCAGTCTTATTCCCTCTGTGCAATAGCCACTCTTTACAGACCCGTTCAACTTTTGATGCAATTTGATGCCAACACAATGCTTTTGGTTTTTATCAAGTTCAGAACCAGCTTATTCTGTACCTACTTTATGACCAATTGCATTTCCTCATCCAAAGCAGTAGACAACTGATGTTGCAGGTAAATATGATTTATCATCTGCATACAGGACTGTCCACACACAAGAGGAAGATCGTCGGTCTTCAACAGCGTCCCTGAGGCACTCTTTCACATCTGAATAACTTCCATTATAAAATACACATCGTCCCATTATAGTTAACCTTTAAACCAATGTACGGTATGAGAAGTAAATTTGTAACATTTCAGTTTATCCATCAATAATTTATGATCCAGTTCATCAAAAGCTGAGCTAAACTCTAACAATACTGCTCTAAGTTATTAAAGAATAATTGAATATCCTCACAAACTATCATTTTCAATACTTCGCTAAGAACTGGTAGAGAACTTATTGTTCGACTATTATGAGCATTAAAGCCCAGTGCTGTTTTTAGATGAATAACCGTCGCATCTTTCCAAGCTAAAGGGAAAATCCCTTTTTCAATACTGATATTAAAGATGTGGCAAACTGGTTCTGCCAAACAACATTTCTTCTCTTAATTTATCAACTTTATTTATGAAAAAAATCATTAAAATAGTTTCCAATTTCATATAGTTTAGTTAAATATGAGTCACCTGTATCAATAAAAGAAGGGTTTTGACTTGATTTCCATTATTTCATTGAGGGTTCTCCACATTATTATTTTTTTATAATCATATTTACATTCACTTATTTTAATTTTGTAAAACAACTGGTTCCCGGTTCTGATTGCCCGTCGCCACATCTCTCTCATTAACAACCCACCAATCCCTCACATCGTCACTGTTTCTCTCATTAAAGGGTAAATCATCTTTCAAATGCTGACAATATCAGGATGAACGAATCTCTTATATGATCTTTTATAAATTACTTTTGGTTTCCTAAGCTTTCTAAGTGTTTACATGCTTGGTAAATAAAACATAATATATTTTTATTCATGTGCTTAAAGGCCTTAAACGCTCGAACCCCGATCATGATGCCTGCAGCTTTAATTATATATGCTTTTTTTAAATTGTTTTGCAGCAAATCCTCTTTTTCTTCCAGAACTCACTGTATGTTGTTTGCTTATTTTCTAATGTTTTCATGTTTATAAATGTTTGCACTGCAAAATAAAAATGGTCTTGTTTTTCATCAAAAATACAAACATTCTTAAATCAAGATACATTTACTGGAGAAACAAAATGATTATTATATTAATGATATTAAGTCTTTTTTTCTGGAAAAAAAAAATCAGAAAAAAACGAGTGCTTAAAACAAGAACTAATATCTGTCAGTGGAGGCAGAAAAATAGATCATAAATATTCAAAATTCAAAAATATTAATTCAACGGGAAAACTAGAGGATGTTTCCATTGACCTGCGCTGAGAAAGAAATGACTCACGAATTAAACAATCACTTCTGGAATTTATAGTTTGAGGAAAATAGTCCATAATTTAAGGAAATAGCGACTAGGGAAATTTGTTCAAAACTTGATAGGTTTGCATAATCAAATGTACTGGAAAGCTGACATGATGTCACTGCGCGTGTTAATAAAGCATATTCTGTTCATATCCAGACCAACAAACTCTTTCCCACGACTCTTTTAATATCCTGAGGATAATGTTCCTCTTTGGCATCGGTGTCGATAAGGAGCTAATATTGCAGAAGCTGATGATCTTCGAGAGGACTTTACAGTGTTTTCATATACAACAAACTCTACGTTTGAAGACATTTTGATGATTACAGTTTTGATCATCATGATGGACAAAATAAATGATTTATTACATATTTTGTTTCCACTAAAGTTGAAATATTTAGGCAAGTGCAGGAATAAACATTCTAAAACCAGTCATGTTTTCTATGCACAACATTATGATTATGAATTGTAAGTATTGAATATAGCATCATGAGATCAGTGGAATATGCATTTATTTATTTTTTATTGAGAACATCCTATAAACAAAGAAATTAGCAGTTAAAATACATAAACAAAAACAACACATATCAAAGGGAAAGATTAAAGGACGTACATATTTCAAATGTTTTTAAAGCCTTATTGTTACATGAGTTAGAGATAGTCACGCTGTAATGCTGTACTTCAGCAAAACAGAGAAAAGTTGTTTCCGTCTTGAAATTTTGCATTTATGTATATAAAATTTTGTTAACAAAATAAGATTATGAACTTTTTTTCCCACAGTAAAGAAAAAGCGTATAGAGTCAATGCTTTCAATAATAAATATTGTATAATAATTTAGACTTAAGTGTCGGGGCATTTAAAAAAAAAAGAAATGCTTGAAGAAAAGAAACGTGGAAAAAAAACATTAAAAACAATTATCATCATTGTCATAAGATAATAATAATACATAACATATTAGAGTGTCGACGCATTTTTTTAAAATAAATGCCAAGGTATCAAAAATATAAGTAGCCTACATAGCACAAATTTACAAATTAGATAGGCCTACTAATTCATCACATTTATATAGCGCTTTTCTCAAAGCGCTTCACATGGAAGGGGGAATCTCCTCAACCACCACCACTGTGCAGCTCCACCTGGATGATGCGACGGCAGCCATATTGCGCCAGAACGCCCACCACACACCAGCTTACTGGTGGAGAGGAGACCGAGTGATGAAGCCAATTGGTACATAGGGATGATTAGGAGGCCATGATGGACAGAGGCCAATGAGCAAATTTGGCCAGGATGCCGGGGTTACACCCCTACTCTTTCGAAAGACATCCTGGGATTTTTTGTGACCACGAGAGTCAGGGCCTCGGTTTAACGTCTCATCCAGGGATGTAGTGGAGGCTAAACGCACGTAAACGCCGTTTACGCACCTCCCAATATTCGGAAATAGCGTTTACCCACTTCCAAAGTGCGTTTATCCACCTCTAAATATCCTGTAGTTCCTAAGACATTTTAAAATAAGCTTATGTCGTTTTAGTTTCATATTGTTCATTATTAGTTTCATAGGTTGTTAAACCTAAGACGAACTCTTTCATATTGCGCTGCATTACAGTGTTGCTGACGGTAAGGTTGCGCTGTTGACGCTCGCTCGCCTATCGAGGAGAAATCTACACACATGAGCGCAGCACACACACACTCAGTTAACAACATACTGCCTATAAAAATCTAAATGTGGAGTTTTTATATTTTTAACATATGTTAAGCAACCTCAATTATTTTTCCTGAACACCATCACGATTGAAAATGTGACATTGATTTCCTAAAACAGGCTGTTTTTGTTCTGTTTCAGCAGCGAAAATAGTTCCAAATAAAAATCACAGCAGAACCACAGCGCATCTCACAGGAACACTCAACCTGTTTTCATTACTGAATGAATCGGCCGTTTGAACGAATCGTTTGAATGAATGAATCAATGACTCACTCATTAAGACGGTCGCCTGCCGCCACCTACTGGCAGTTTAGTGTTATGTTTAAAAGTAGATCATTCTTTCCAACGTTTCTTATTTGTAAATTTAAATCAATTTCATAACATTATTTTATGCATTTGTAATTTTTCAGTGTAAATGATTTAATTTGATCAGCCCCTAGGGTAACAGCACTATAGTGTCTTATTATTCGAAATAATTGAATTTATTGATCAAATTTAGGCATTTAAAATGAAAGATGAAGCATAGCCTACATTTAATAATATTGGGGGAGGGGATGCCCTTTAAACGTGCAGATATTACAATATGGTGATTTAAATATCAAAGCTGATTGAACACTGATGAGAATATTGTTTCAGAATAAATTAACACACACAAAATAAAAATAAAAAATCCGGACGAGCAACTTTTTTACTCGGACAAGTGAATGACAGATTTACTTGTCCGAAGGACAAGCGTATGAAAAGGCTTAATGTCGAGCCCTCCCTATATAGCAATGTCATCAGGATACACATACACCTTACCGGGTGACCACGTCGTGGTCCACCAGAATTTATAGTTTACCCACCTCTTTTTTTACCACTACACCTCTGGTTTTATCCGAAGGACGGTTACAACGAAATAAAGAGAGCAAAGCACCACATACATATACATGGGTTATAGCCTCTACATATAAAAAAAACAGAACAGAAAACTGTAATGAAATAAATTAAAGAGTTGAAACAAGTTTATTGTCTGAAGAGCTTTAAGATTCTTAGATGATGAAATGCTTTGGATGCACTGTTGGACCTCTCTTCGAGCGCAAGAGTGTCGGCGCATGTTATTTGTTTTTGACTGCAGATGACGTCTGAGCTAGTTGCGGAAGTGACGTGTGTTCCTCCAATCAGAGCTCGCAGCGCATGATTTCGAACATCAACGTCCCGACGGGAAGTACGCCAGAGAAGAAACTCACATAAAATACACACAATATACGCGCTATCCGTTCTAAAGTCGCCGTTCACACGCCTGTGGATAGCGGCGAGCAGCAGTGCGAGGTGTGTGTCGTGTTTGAGAGAGGCTCAGAGGCATGTGGAGCTGAAGCTTAACCCGTTAATCTCCTGAGAGACTCGCGGTCAGCCATGGCTCGCGAGCGGGTGCTGAAGAAGAGTTTCCAGCAGAGTCTGGACGAAATCAAGGACAAAATGAAGGAAAAGAGGAACAAACGCCTCGCTGGGGCTTTAGCTGTCAGCCGCGGCCTGTCGAAGATGAAGAGCAGAAGCACAGGTGCGATTAATGCCTTATGCCATTATATAAACCATAGATATAAACGTCTGGGTTGTGTTTTATGGTGTCGTTAGTACCAGTACGGGTCTACGTAAACCGCTCTCCCCGCTCTTAAAGGGACCGTTCACACAGAAATGTAAAATCTGTCATTGACGCACGTTGATCCAAAACTATGACTGATTTTCCTCTGTGGAAAACAAACTGAGGTGTTTAAGAGTGACATCCTCATTCTATCGTTTTCCGTTCAGCCTAGCTTCTCCTTTTGTGTGCCACAGAAGAAAGAAAGTCAGGTTTAGAACCAAATTAAAGTCAGCACGAAACAGAAGTTGTGATGATAACAGTCCGAGTGAATCGCTTCTGGAACCAGAACACATGTGGGCGGGGCTTGATTGTGTCTGTGGGAATTGATTGTATGATTGTGGTTTGCTATTGGCTAATCTCATGTGAGCGACAGGTTATAGCCCCGCCCTCGTCATCAGAGAAGAGATGCTGCAAGAGGAAGTTATTCTCATTCAAGATGATTAAAAACACTGATAAATCATTTAGAATAAACACTGCAATATTCCATTAAAAAATAACAATGAATGACAGTTTATATTGGGGTGGATCATGTCTTTGCAGCGACGGTGCAGCCGTTTGTGCTGAAGAGCGTCCAGGAGAACAACAAAGCTCTCGCCGTGGCGCTGCAGACGGAGCGGGAGAAGGTACGGCAAGCGCAGGGGGTCATTCTGCACCTGAAGAAGGAGAGGCAGGCGCTCGTCTTCCACCTGCTGATGCTGAAGAGGACGCTTCGAGACCGCGCGCCGGCCGAACACGCTCAGGTGAGACGCCATGCACACACACACACACACACACTGCTGATGTACAGGTGAGACGTCATGCACACACACACACACACAGTTACATCGTGCACTAAGACCGACGGAAAATGTAAAGTTGCGATTTTCTAGGCTGATATGGCTAGGAACTATACTCTCATTCCTGCGTAATAATCAAGAAACTTCACTGCCGTACCAATAGAGCAGGCGCAGGCACTCAGTCCCGGTCACGTTGGAAGTTACCGAGCTGGGGACTATTTTCAGGCGCTGCGTCATATCATTACGCCTGCTGCACTCATGGTACAGCAGTAAAGTTTCTTGATTATTACGCAGGAATGAGTCTATTTCCAAAAAAAGTGGAGTATCCATTTAAGTAATACTGAACAATAACTCGCTATGGCTCAGTGATTATGAAAGTTCTGTGATTTGTGGATTACTGAAGCGCGAGTCTGGAGAAACAGGCGTTTATTTATTAATCTCAGTGTTGAGAAACGCCTGCATGTGTTACGTTATCGTGTTAGAAATAACTAAAGTACCTAATTATGTTACATATTTATTTTGTATGAACTAGCGCGTTAGTTACTTATGGACTAAAAAGTACCGTTGTATCAGAACTGCGCGAGCTCAAACACTGACGCGCACAGAGAGAAGATCAGTGTAAAATCAAAATTGACGGGCTAAGTTTAAATTTTGTTCTTGGTAGTTTCTTGTTTCAAAATGTCAGAAAGCATTTTTGTATTATCCATCCGTGTTTTAAAAGTTCGTTAAATGACGGACGTTTTACTATTAACAGCCCCATGTCGGATTCATCTAAACTTATACTTGATATTCTTTTCAGAATAAGTGATTCGTTTTACCATTATCGGTAAATACCAGGACTCTGTCTATTCACTGTCACCTGTTTTCTATAAGTGTGTCTTGGCTAACGTTTATTGTGCTGTTTAAAATAGGGCTGTCAACTTTAGTCGTTTAGTCGACTAATCGGTCGATGCCGTCTTGGTCGACTGACATTCTTATTGGTCGACCAGGTGCATTTTTTTAAAATTTATTTTTACCAATAGAAATAAATTTTCAATGATTTACTCCTTGATATGTATTCCTTTATAAGCAGTTATATATTACTGTATTCTAAATATTATTAGCCTATGGTTTATCCCCAACTTTAAATGCTGTAATTTAGGCTATTTTGTAACCGCGCCACAGTTTAGCGCACACACACTCGGTTCGCACCTGTGGCCGGCTGCGCTGCTGCTTCGTGCTCAGTAAGGGATATAGGTAGTTTAGCTGTATTCATTCAGTTAGAACGCTACTTGTTTCAGTTTTTATGTTTTTATACACTATATGTTTTTATCTCGATGCGGCGTGGACGCACTTGGAAAAATAGAGCGCGTCGCACCGCGAGCGCGTTGCTTCCATCATGAGCGCGCAAAAGACGTGAGCAGGCCCTTTAACGGCTTTATCATGCTGACTCAATAGATTGTGTTTTCTTGATATGTTTTTGTTTTTATTTGTACACTTGACGCGTTTGAAAATAGCCTAAATAATGTAACAAAACGAAAATAAACCTATATGCGGTCCTACAATACAGCCTATTATTATTAGGATTGTTTTTTAGGCTCTTTGTTTTTTTGTGTGTGTTTGTTTTAAAACTCCTAGATGGGCTGGACAAAAGTTAACCCATAGCTTTGAAAGTAAAGAAGAATATACAGCCTGTATAAACGAGAGCTTTTGTTAGGATTGTTCATTGTGGCAGATAGCAGTTATTGTGGTGTGGTCAGGTGCGCGATTGTGACGGTCACTATAGACCTAGGCTAGGACAGAGCTCCTCACTTTTTGCAGTTAAAAAAAAATCACTTAATTTTCAAAGAATTGTATTATTATTATAGTTGTATGTATTTTTGATGTTTTTTCGTTGTTGTTTTATAAATGCTCTATGACAATTGTTAAAAAATGTTCAATCAAAACAGCGCGTTCTTTTTTTTTTTTTTTTTTTTTTTAGTCAACTAATCGTTGCGCAGGACACGACTTTGGTCGACTAAGGATTTCTTTGTTTGACTCAGGGCTCGACATAAGCAATGGCCCGATGGCCCGGGGCCAGTAAAAGTGTATGTCGGGCTAGTAGCAAAACAAACAGCAAACGTCATACACAGTGGCGCGAAGAGTGTCAATGTTACTTCAGGTTATTTATAACGTGTTAAAATGTCAAAGAACTACACGGCTGATACGAGAAAGAGGACATCTAGTGTCATGGAAAACACAGTAGCCTACACCTGGTAGGGATGGGTACCGAAACCCGGTATTATACGGGCCCCGGGGCTGAATTTTGAAAGACCGCTGTATCGATAAGCTCGGACGTTATCTGTTCTGCTGTCGGCACTGGAGAAATACACGTAGGCCTATCATTTATTATTGCTATAAAGAGTAAAGACGTTATTGTTTTTTTTTTTACCATCTCGATTAGTCGCCAGTCATTTCTATAGCTTAATATATGACGACGGAGGACAGAACTAAACATTCGAACGTAGCCTATATGGTTACACTTTAGATCTGTGATATTAGTCTGATTTTATTTTAGATTTCGGCTTCCAAAGATTATAGAATATTTGAGGTAAAACCATTAAAAACTACAGCCGCATTCTGTCTAGCGCAACTTTATTTTCATTCGCAGAAGTAGGCCTAGCCTACGCTGTCATTTTTCCTTAAAGCTCAAACTTTAAGACAGAATCAGCACGATCGGTGATTGTTGTAAAATGCAGTCTCTACTGATTCTAAATCGCGGGACGCGTTTAATAATAAAAAGAGCTATTAAAAGCACAAAAATCTGCACAAGAGATGCTGTTCCCAATGCGGCGCGCGCTCCGAAACAGACCGTAACGAGACAAGCAAATTATACTTTGGGCTTCATGTGCGCGTCTAAACGATCAAATGTACACAAAAATGTGTCAAAATGACCGGCTTGGAGATTCACTTAAACAGTTTATGACTAAAATGGATGTAGTTATGGTGCATTAAAATATAGTGCATCAGACTATTAGATCTGCACTCGTTCTTAAAGGGGAAGCCGTCTAATAAACATGCTGACGATTGCGTCATTACTCCGAATCAAACAACAAAAGGCAAAAACAAAATCACTCACAGCTCTTGAATGAATAACTTTAGCTTTAATAAGCATAAGTAACAGTGATGGAGATGAGGAGAGACCAGGTATTGACAGATAATCTACTACACGCTGAATTTCTTTTATTTTTTTTTGCATTTCTCCAGGGGCTCTCTCTTAATTCCTCCATTTGGTTCCCTAATGTATACAATAAATACAGTTTAATGGAAAAGTGCTTTTCCTTATATTTCTTTCAGGGCCAGTAAAACTCGGATCTACAGTGGGGATTTTTTTTTATGTTGAGCCCTGGTTTGACTACAGCCCTAGTTTAAAATGTGCAATGTTCAAATGCAAAGACAGCACGGCACAAATTAAACCCTTTTTTCTGTGGGATTTAGGATCATATTTGGATATTGTCTAAAAAAATGATGACAAAAATAAAGCGACAGATCTCGACCTGCGGTTAGAAGAAGAGTTTCTCGTTTGCATGACATGTGGACTCAATAAATCCTGATCTTGAGCAAATAAGCAAGCTGACATTCAGTGCGACCTGTGTCTTTTATTTAGAGTACATGCAAATGTCATTTACGTCTGAGTTTAAGAGGTTTAACGTGTAGTTTTTGAAGAGTGCGCATGTGTGAACGAGCTCGAGTGCGTGAGAACGAGCCTATGAGTGAATCTGGACATTAAAGCAACACTAAAGAACATTTTTTACCTTAAAATAATGTTTCCATAATCGTTTCAGTGGTTTATCTAGTCGTCACCGGGTGAAGTGCCTCCGCTAGATCCGCTATATCTCCTATATCTGCTATATCCACACTGTGCAGGTTTGCCAGAGCGGCTCGCGTCTCTGTGGTTCGAATGAGACATAAGAAAACGACACATTTGACTTGCTTTACGTCAAGCGTTACACTTGCCATTATTTAGTTGTTGTTGTTTTTTTCTGATGTCGCAATACATCATACTTTCATGAAATCATGCAACATACTCTACCTTGTCTGTGGACATCGTTCACTCTAAGGCCGGCGCTGATACACAGTGAGCACGCGCGCGACGGGAGGCTAGATCGCCACAGGAACAGTTCCTTAGTGTTGCTTTTAGGGCTGCACGATTAATCGCAATAAAACCACACGCGATTTGGCAAAGGCTGTGATATTTTATGCGCAGCTTTTCAGTGCAGTGCGGCTGACCGGTAGTAAAGGCTGCTCCATTTGAACGCCAGAGGGCGCTCTCACGCAGACACGGTAAATATGCCCCGCCGCAGAAGTAGAATAACGCGCATCATTCCAGGAAATCACTATCGCTGTAGCTGAATAGAGGGAATGCATTAACGTCACTTCCCCGCCGGAACACGCCCCCCTCAGCGGGACTGAGTGGCAGAAGAGCTGCTGCGTGACTGGAGTTAATAGGGGAAACTGCGTTAACGCGAGTAACACAAACTATTATCAGTTTAAACTAAAAGTTGGACTCGATATAGTGTTCCTTACAACTTATCAAAGATCCAGTGATCCATGGATATTGACATGCAGCCAGGAATCGTGTTTCCTGACATTTATATGTGCCTGATTTCCACGCCGGGGAAATAAATGAAGACAATTTGCCTGTAAACGTTTTATATAACGTTAAATACAATATAGATAGGTCTAAATCCGAGTGATCACTTACATTAATGTTATACTGTATATCATCATATCGTCCAGCCCTAAAACTTGTATAGTTTTTTTGTCAGTGTTTATTTAAAAACATCCAATTATGCAGAATATAGTCTGTTCTGTAGCTTTTTGCAGTCTGTAAAAATATACAGTACCTCAGATTTCTGGTCAAATCTAGTTGTACAGTCAATCGCAAAGCTCTTTCCCGTTTTAGATGTGTTTTGTGTGATTTTCACGGCGTTCACGCTGAAAACAAATGCTGCCGCTCAGTCTTTTTGCCACTTGTGGGCGTGACCGCATTCACTCCGGCCGACGGTGACGTCATGCGCATACCCTCTATAAACGGAAGATTGAAATGCTTTGATTAAACATGACTTATAAATACACGACTGCCTTATTCTGTGTAAGAAGCCACATTATATCACAAATTATGCTCATCTGTCGTTATGAAGTGAGTTTGGAGTAAATGCATGTTATTAAATGTTGTCTTTTGTTGGACAAGAGGTTTATAAATGCTTCTCATGTTTGGAAAGATGTTTGACGCGTGTTGCTTTTTTCAAATGCACGTTATAAGTGACTCAACTCACAGTGCTTTCAGAGTGAGCCGCGTCTACAGAGCCGTATATCAGTGACGAGCTGCGCGTAAAAGATAATCGCAGCCTTTGCGATTTCAAAATCTCGAGTTAAGAGCGATTACATGTAAATTGCGATTAATCGTGCAGCCCTAGTTGCTTTGAGAAATAGTCCTCGGATGCCATGTCTGTAATTTATAGCAAAACACAGTGTTAATTCGATCTCAGACAGATTCATTAACAGAAGTTATTACTCCAACATCTGTGTGACATCATTAACCAACGCGGTTGAACGACTAATTTGAGACAATAAGGTTTGGGGAAACCGTGGTGACGGGCTAGCGGATTTCTCCAGCGATGCGCTACAGCAGTGACGCGCGAGTTACGGCGCTGTACGGGAACAGCCCTGGATGTTCATCGATGTGCAGATCTACTTTTGCATGAGTGTGTGAATTAATGCGCTGGTAAAGTGTGTGTAGTGGTTCCTCTTATTCACGGCTTATTAACTTGTTTTTGCAGGTTTCTCCTCCTGTCGAGACGATCCCAGCTCAGCCCGTCAGTCCTCGGTGAGAAACACAAGCTTTTTATAGGAAAATAATATACATGAGTGTTTAAAGGTTTGGGGATGTGTCTGAAAGAGCCTCTTCTGCTCACCAAGGCTGCAAAAACAGTGAAATATTATTCCAGTGTAAAGCAGCTGTTCACTATGGAAACTACGCCACAGAATATAACATTTCAAAAGATAATTGTGACGTTTATATCACGCAACTGTGAGTTTATAACTAGGGGTGTCACGATTCTCCAAATCCTCGATTCGATTACATTTTCGATTCTAATGTCACGGTTCGATTCGATTCTCGATTTTTACATGAATTTTTTTTAAAGCCGAAACCGGCCAATCAGGATGCGCTTCATGAGGCACACACGCAAGGTCTCTCGCTCTCGCTCTCCCGTCCCTTGTAAGGGAAAAAAGGTCAGAATTGTAAGATGAAAAAGTCGCAATTACTCCCGCAATATTGCAGTACCGCGCTACTGACAGGCTAACGGCAGAGCGATGCAGGAAACCGCAGCAACCGCGGTATTAGCGTGTGTTCATAAGGCTACACCCTTCTTGTTGTGAACTTCCTGCATGTGTATTGAATGTTAAATAAGTTCATAATGTGTTTTATTAAGTGAAGCACCAGCTTTAGCGTTAGCATGCGACACGTGTTAGCTGAGCCTTGAAAAGTGGAGCTCAAAGTTAAAATAATTAACACCATGTTTCATTACATCTATCTTTTAATGAATCAGCGTTTTTGAACGTGTTCGTTGAATAATCAGTTTAATGACTCACTCTAAGACGCTGAGTGACAGTTTTCAATGTGCAGAACCGCTGCTTTTGTGTATGCTGACCACATCATAACACTTATTGATATAGCAACAAATAAATCAAAATAAATAAATTGAGTCGCTCAACATCACAGCAGGGGAATTCCTTCACCGCGACGGCCCGATATATAGCAGTGTAACTTATTCCTGAGATCGAAGCTGAATGTTCAGCATCATTACTCCAGTCTTCAGTGTCACATGATCCTTCAGAAATCACTCTAATATGAGGATCTGATGCTCAACAAACAGTTATGATTATGATCAGTGTAAGAAGATATTTGTTGATGATATTGTGACTGTGTCGCAGGCCGGTTGGTGTGTTTGAGACTGACGTGCAGGAGCCTCCGACTGCAGGTACGTGTGTGTGTGTGTGTGTGTCTCACATGCTCATTACACACAGATGTTCGGGCTTTTATGCTGTGTTCTGTGTGTGTGCAGAGGCTGCTTCGGGGAGCTGTGCTGCCAGACCGGGGTCACTGCCGCCCACAGTGGGAACCAGGAGGAAGAGGCGCTCTGAAGCTGTGAGGAGACGGAGCTCACGCTTCCACTCCATCGGGAAAACACAAGAGGCTCTCGATGACCGGCGAGAGGAGGCGCTCAACACTCGGCCGGAGGAGGAGCGGGTCGCACCGGACGAGCAGAACCGGGAGTTTGAGCTGGAGGTGTCCGAGGTCCAGCATTCGACGCCGGATCCTCCCGTCAGGCCAAGCCGAAGGAAGAAACCCACCCGGACCAAACCGGAGCGGGGCCGCAGACCGGACCGGGCCCCGCTGAAGAAACCCTGGGAGAACCCCAAACCCAGAGCGCGCTCCAAAAGCCGTGAGCGTTCCCAGAGCCGGTCCCGGGCGCCGGCCGAGGGCCTCAATTCCTCCCTGGGCGGCAACGACACCTTTGACTTCAACTGTGAGGAGGCCGTTCATCTGACACCCTTCAGAACCGGACACAAGCCTGCGGAGAGACCAGATGACCCTGCGGAGAGACCGGAAAACCCTGCGAAGAGACCGGATGACCCTGAAGAGGAGGAGGCCGACAGCAGCCTCTCCGATGATGAAGATGATTCCCCGTACGTGCCGAAGAGGAAGACTAGAAGGACTCGAAGTCCTCCGGCCAGACGCGCTCGGTCCAAACGCCGCTCCGCTCAGGAGAAGAACCGGAACCAGCACTCAGGTACCTCATGGGGGTGTAACGGTTCACAAAATTCACGGTTCGATACGATACACTTGTGTCACGGTTCGGTACGTTCTCAATACAGCAGAAAGAAAGAAATGCCAGAGAAATTTCCTTGATTTAATTTTTTTTTATTATATTTTTATTAAAATTAACATCATAAAATATGATATTTTTTTACTTTGAGCTATACTCGACTTTTCTTAGGAGCATATAAAATGAAATGAAATGTAATATTGTAGTAGTTATAAACAAAGGTTTGTTTTAGTTCAGATTAACATAGGGCTGCACGATTAATCGAATTTTAATCACGATCACGATTTTGGCTTCCCACGATCAAATTCGCGTGATCGAGCGATATTTTAAATGCGTCATTCAGTTCACAGAAAGCTTTTTTTTTGCCAATCTAGCGCACCGTAAACCAGTGTCTGATCACGTGCCTCCATGAGCCCAGGTGCGCGAGAGAGACCTACGGTCTGCGTGCGAGCGACAGTGCACGAGAGAGACCGCGAGTGTGTCTGCGTGCGAGCAACAGCGCGCGCCTACCGATTGTGTCGCGCGCGAGAGAGACTGAGTGACAGTGCGCGTGAGAGACCGAGTGTGAGCATTAGTAAATTGCATTAGTAAATTGGTACATACTACATATATATATTTACTATTTATACCATGGTCTGGGTGAATACTCGATTCTGATTGGCTGCAGGGTGTCCGTTAAAAAGTGATAGAGGACACCTAAAGTAGTTCTGGTGAAACTGCCTGTTTACCATTCGAAATTAATAAATAAATGCGCTGCCTACAACAGCTGTGTGAGTAACCATAGCAACAGGCAGTCAACGTTAGTTAGATATTACATAGCCTACTACAATGAGCGACTTCGTTCGTTATTTCATCTTCAGTCTCTCACGGACTGACGGAGCCCAGTAAGCCCGCAGACTGCTCTCGCATCGATGGCCTGTCACCGACTTTATTTGACGGCTCTCCAGTCCAGCATCGGAGAGTCGACCTACAGCGGTGCTTCGGAGGCTGTGGTTAGTGTAGACTAGTGTAACACAAAGTGTTTTATGTGCAATAAAAAAATAACTATGCCTACCTTTGTGTTTCATGAAAAAAAAAATGCATTTTTGAACCTGAAGGGTTCTACAAGCTGAGCGGACTATAAATATCTCAAGTTGCTAAATAAATCGTCAGGCAAGTTATTATTTGAAAAAACTAGATTTAGCCTAATTAAAATATAAACTAATGTTTTAAAAATGTTTTATTTGGCAAGTGACCATGGTATAAGCGGGTTAATGCCCTTCGAGGTGACCGTTGTCAGGACCGTTGTCCTCCGCTGCGCGTCGGCCGGTTTACACCTCGCCGTCGTCCATTAAAACCTGACAACGGACACCTCGTCGGGCATTAACCCTTACATAAGAGGCATGGAAGTTCGATTAATGGACTCCAATAATCAGTCCTACAAACGTCTTGTTTTGACCTATTGTTTAACAAATAGAAATAATTTGAGCACATAAACTTTCACATGGAGAATTAAATAGATTAAATTTATGCAGTAAGACTTCACAACTAATCACTGACACTGTAGGCCTACCACAACATTTTACATTTATTAAGCGTCAAATAACAATGACTCTGAATTTCATCCATTAATCGAACTTCCATAGTGCAGTTCTGCCTTGAAATGTTCTAATTTGGTTACATTCTGTTATGGAATATTTGTTTTTTTATTGATTGTATATTTTGCGTGTTTTATTCACATCCATTATGCAGGTACAATGCAAGTTTATATTTTGCTTCCTAAAATAGATTTACACAATGTAAAATGTAAAATAGTGCCCTGTTGAAGTTTTGCTACATTTTCTTTATTGTTTTCTTTATTCTTTAAGGAGATGCACTGAATTTTGGTGAATAAGAGGACCTATTTTATTTAGATACACATACATTAGCAGAAATGTAGCACAATATGGATGTGAAAGCAGTTATAATTAGCCTATGTGGCAATAAAATTTGTTTTGGTAAAATCAACAAATAATCGTGATAATTAATCGTGATCGCAATATTGATCAAAATAATCGTGATTATCATTTTGGCCCAAATCGTGCAGCCCTAGATTAACATTTGAGGGCAGCAATTGTATTCATAATGTCAAAATAAAACCGACGTAATGTTACTTGAAAGCATTATAGCCTACTATTCCTGCCACACTCCCATGGTTACAGTTAGTAGTGTGTCTACAGTTAGTAGTGTTACTCCAGTTAGTAGTGTTACTACAGTTAGCAGTGTTACTACAGTTAGTAGTGTTACTACAGTTAGTAGTGTCTACAGTTAGTAGTGTTACTACAGTTAGTAGTGTTACTACAGTTAGTAGTGTTACTACAGTTAGTAGTGTTACTACAGTTAGTAGTGTTACTACAGTTAGTAGTGTTACTACAGTTAGCAGTGTTACTACAGTTAGTAGTGTTACTACAGTTAGTAGTGTCTACAGTTAGTAGTGTTACTACAGTTAGTAGTGTTACTACAGTTAGTAGTGTTACTACAGTTAGTAGTGTTACTACAGTTAGTAGTGTTACTACAGTTAGCAGTGTTACTACAGTTAGTAGTGTCTACAGTTAGTAGTGTTACTACAGTTAGTAGTGTTACTACAGTTAGTAGTGTTACTACAGTTAGTAGTGTTACTACAGTTAGTAGTGTTACTACAGTTAGTAGTGTTACTACAGTTAGTAGTGTTACTACAGTTAGTAGTGTCTACAGTTAGTAGTGTTACTACAGTTAGTAGTGTTACTACAGTTAGTAGTGTTACTACAGTTAGTAGTGTTACTACAGTTAGTAGTGTTACTACAGTTAGCAGTGTTACTACAGTTAGTAGTGTCTACAGTTAGTAGTGTTACTACAGTTAGTAGTGTTACTACAGTTAGCAGTGTTACTACAGTTAGCAGTGTTACTACAGTTAGTAGTGTCTACAGTTAGTAGTGTTACTACAGTTAGTAGTGTCTACAGTTAGTAGTGTTACTACAGTTAGTAGTGTCTACAGTTAGTAGTGTTACTACAGTTAGCAGTGTTACTACAGTTAGTAGTGTTACTACAGTTAGCAGTGTTACTACAGTTAGTAGTGTCTACAGTTAGTAGTGTTACTACAGTTAGTAGTGTTACTACAGTTAGCAGTGTTACTACAGTTAGTAGTGTTACTACAGTTAGTAGTGTCTACAGTTAGTAGTGTTACTACAGTTAGTAGTGTTACTACAGTTAGTAGTGTTACTACAGTTAGTAGTGTTACCACAGTTAGCAGTGTTACTACAGTTAGTAGTGTCTACAGTTAGTAGTGTTACTACAGTTAGTAGTGTCTACAGTTAGTAGTGTTACTACAGTTAGTAGTGTCTACAGTTAGTAGTGTCTACAGTTAGTAGTGTTACTACAGTTAGCAGTGTTACTACAGTTAGTAGTGTCTACAGTTAGTAGTGTGTCTACAGTTAGTAGTGTCTACAGTTAGTAGTGTTACTACAGTTAGTAGTGTTACTACAGTTAGTAGTGTCTACAGTTAGTAGTGTTACTACAGTTAGTAGTGTTACTACAGTTAGTAGTGTCTACAGTTAGTAGTGTTTCTACAGTTAGTAGTGTCTACAGTTAGTAGTGTTACTACAGTTAGTAGTGTCTACAGTTAGTAGTGTTTCTACAGTTAGTAGTGTTACTACAGTTAGTAGTGTCTACAGTTAGTAGTGTTTCTACAGTTAGTAGTGTTACTACAGTTAGTAGTGTTACTACAGTTAGTAGTGTTACTACAGTTAGTAGTGTTACTACAGTTAGTAGTGTTTCTACAGTTAGTAGTGTTTCTACAGTTAGTAGTGTTACTACAGTTAGTAGTGTTACTACAGTTAGTAGTGTTACTACAGTTAGTAGTGTTACTACAGTTAGTAGTGTTACTACAGTTAGTAGTGTCTACAGTTAGTAGTGTTTCTACAGTTAGTAGTGTTTCTACAGTTAGTAGTGTTACTACAGTTAGTAGTGTTACTACAGTTAGTAGTGTTACTACAGTTAGTAGTGTTACTACAGTTAGTAGTGTCTACAGTTAGTAGTGTTACTACAGTTAGTAGTGTTACTACAGTTAGTAGTGTTACTACAGTTAGTAGTGTTACTACAGTTAGTAGTGTCTACAGTTAGTAGTGTTTCTACAGTTAGTAGTGTTACTACAGTTAGTAGTGTTTCTACAGTTAGTAGTGTTACTACAGTTAGTAGTGTTTCTACAGTTAGTAGTGTTACTACAGTTAGCAGTGTTACTACAGTTAGTAGTGTTACTACAGTTAGTAGTGTTACTACAGTTAGTAGTGTTACTACAGTTAGTAGTGTTACTACAGTTAGTAGTGTCTACAGTTAGTAGTGTCTACAGTTAGTAGTGTTACTACAGTTAGCAGTGTTACTACAGTTAGTAGTGTCTACAGTTAGTAGTGTGTCTACAGTTAGTAGTGTCTACAGTTAGTAGTGTTACTACAGTTAGCAGTGTTACTACAGTTAGTAGTGTTACTACAGTTAGTAGTGTTACTACAGTTAGTAGTGTTACTACAGTTAGTAGTGTTACTACAGTTAGTAGAGTTACTACAGTTAGTAGTGTTACTACAGTTAGTAGTGTTACTACAGTTAGTAGTGTTACTACAGTTAGCAGTGTTACTACAGTTAGTAGTGTCTACAGTTAGTAGTGTTACTACAGTTAGTAGTGTTACTACAGTTAGTAGTGTCTACAGTTAGTAGAGTTACTACAGTTAGTAGTGTTACTACAGTTAGTAGTGTTACTACAGTTAGTAGTGTTACTACAGTTAGTAGTGTGTCTACAGTTAGTAGTGTTTCTACAGTTAGTAGTGTTACTATAGTTAGTAGTGTTTCTACAGTGAGTAGTGTTACTACAGTTAGTAGTGTTACTACAGTTAGTAGTGTTACTACAGTTAGTAGTGTTACTACAGTTAGCAGTGTTACTACAGTTAGCAGTGTTACTACAGTTAGTAGTGTTACTACAGTTAGTAGTGTTACTACAGTTAGCAGTGTTACTACAGTTAGTAGTGTCTACAGTTAGTAGTGTTACTACAGTTAGTAGTGTTACTACAGTTAGCAGTGTTACTACAGTTAGTAGTGTCTACAGTTAGTAGTGTCTACAGTTAGTAGTGTCTACAGTTAGTAGTGTTACTACAGTTAGTAGTGTTACTACAGTTAGTAGTGTTACTACAGTTAGTAGTGTTACTACAGTTAGTATTGTTTCTACAGTGAGTAGTGTTTCTACAGTTAGAAGTGTTACTACAGTTAGTAGTGTTACTACAGTTAGTAGTCAGTTAGTAGTGTTTCTACAGTGAGTAGTGTTACTACAGTTAGTAGTGTTACTACAGTTAGTAGTGTTACTACAGTTAGTAGTGTTACTACAGTTAGTAGTGTTACTACAGTTAGTAGTGTTACTACAGTAAACCCATGGTGATGTTGCTGATCTGTGGACACTGGATAGTTCATTCATGGCACAATGTTTCTCCTGGTTTCCACGTCAGCGCTGTTTGATCCGGTAATAACGGAGAAATGTGAATGTTTCACTAGATCTCGCAGCGATGTTATTACTTCAGTGGTGAACTCAAATGTTTTCTTTACTGGATGTCGCTGTGCAGTAACAGTGCTGATGATGAAGATCGGCTCGCGCTGCATTGGTCCAAACTGATAAACGGTCCGTCAACCACACAATAACGAGTGGCTCAGTTTCGTTCCGCTTACATTTGCCATTTGATGTTGGGCGATGTTGTGGTCACGCCAGCGTCTCTTACATTATGAGTGCGCTTGCCATGCGCGATGCGCCTACATTTGAAATAAGGAAATGTTGGTCGGCAGGAAAAATGGTCCACGAACCGTTCGGTTTAAAAATACGTACTGAAAACCGAACCGAAAGCCTCGTACCGAACGGTTCAATACGAATACGTGTATCGTTACACCGCTAGTACCCCACACAACTACATACATGTCTCCTCTAACATTCAGAAACGTGTAAAAGTGGAACTCTCCCTGAGTCTCTCCGTAAGGCTGCACTCGCTGCTGGTTACTCCTGATTCTGGATCAGTGAGGTGTTTTGTCAGACACATTCTGGGGACACCAGAGATTTATATTACATCTTGTGCAAAGGGGCATAATATGCATCATATCACACTATCTAACATTTCATTTCTTTTAATAATTTAATGATTCGCAGAGAACAACAGGGCTGAAGTGGAAGACCCTGTCGTGCATCTCGATGTTCCTCTCGAGGATCCCAGCCAATCACAGCCAAGCCCAGGTAAACGCAGACGAATGGAAATCATTTGTGAATTCTTCATAGTTATTGCTTTCTGTTCCAGGGTTATCAGTAGAGCTGTGGAATATAATCACTTTATGATGCTGAACTATTATTTCTTACTTGAATGCTTCTGTTACCCTTAAAAGAATTACACAAAGGCCATAGTGTACAAACACTGTCATAATGTTAAGCTGGGGAGTGCAGACTTGGGTTTGGTCTCATGTTATAGAAGAGCCTTGGCAGATTATTGTTGAAGTAAAAAAAGTTTAAAAAGTAAAACAAACAAAAAAGTTATTTAGGTTTTAGTTAATGAAAATGATTTATAAACATTTTTATGAAAGATGTTGAACTCTAAAACTGTTAGAAAAGCAAAGCCATGAATCTAAAGTTGTGTTCAAAATGTGAGGTTGATATCTCAGTAAATGAGCTTTCAGTGAGTGTGAGTCAGTGTCAGTAAGTCAGTGAGTCAGTGTGTCAGTGGGGCAGTGTCAGTGAGTGGCCGTGTGTCAGTGAGTGGCCGTGTGTCAGTGAGTGGCCGTGTGTCAGTGAGTGGCCGTGTGTCAGTGAGGCAGTGTGTCAGTGAGGCAGTGTGTCAGTGAGGCAGTGTGTCAGTGAGGCAGTGTGTCAGTGAGGCAGTGTGTCAGTGAGGCAGTGTGTCAGTGAGGCAGTGTGTCAGTGAGGCAGTGTGTCAGTGAGGCAGTGTGTCAGTGAGGCAGTGTGTCAGTGAGGCAGTGTGTCAGTGAGGCAGTGGCAGTGTGAGTGGGGCAGTGTGAGTGAGGCAGTGGCCGTGTCAGTGAGTGGCCGTGTCAGTGAGTGGCCGTGTCAGTGAGTGGCCGTGTCAGTGAGTGGCCGTGTCAGTGAGTGGCCGTGTCAGTGAGTGGCCGTGTCAGTGAGTGGCCGTGTGTCAGTGAGTGGCCGTGTGTCAGTGAGTGGCCGTGTCAGTGAGTGGCCGTGTCAGTGAGTGGCCGTGTCAGTGAGTGGCCGTGTCAGTGAGTGGCCGTGTCAGTGAGTGGCCGTGTCAGTGAGTGGCCGTGTCAGTGAGTGGCCGTGTCAGTGAGTGGCCGTGTCAGTGAGTGGCCGTGTCAGTGAGTGGCCGTGTCAGTGAGTGGCCGTGTCAGTGAGTGGCCGTGTGTCAGTGAGTGGCCGTGTGTCAGTGAGTGGCCGTGTGTCAGTGAGTGGCCGTGTGTCAGTGAGTGGCCGTGTGTCAGTGAGTGGCCGTGTGTCAGTGAGTGGCCGTGTGTCAGTGAGTGGCCGTGTGTCAGTGAGTGGCCGTGTGTCAGTGAGTGGCCGTGTGTCAGTGAGGCAGTGTGTCAGTGAGGCAGTGTGTCAGTGAGGCAGTGTGTCAGTGAGGCAGTGTGTCAGTGAGGCAGTGGCAGTGTGAGTGGGGCAGTGTGAGTGAGGCAGTGGCCGTGTCAGTGAGTGGCCGTGTCAGTGAGTGGCCGTGTCAGTGAGTGGCCGTGTCAGTGAGTGGCCGTGTCAGTGAGTGGCCGTGTCAGTGAGTGGCCGTGTCAGTGAGTGGCCGTGTCAGTGAGTGGCCGTGTCAGTGAGTGGCCGTGTCAGTGAGTGGCAGTGTCAGTGAGTGGCCGTGTCAGTGAGTGGCCGTGTCAGTGAGTGGCCGTGTCAGTGAGTGGCCGTGTCAGTGAGTGGCCGTGTCAGTGAGTGGCCGTGTCAGTGAGTGGCCGTGTCAGTGAGTGGCCGTGTCAGTGAGTGGCCGTGTCAGTGAGTGGCCGTGTCAGTGAGTGGCCGTGTCAGTGAGTGGCCGTGTCAGTGAGTGGCCGTGTCAGTGAGTGGCCGTGTGTCAGTGAGTGGCCGTGTGTCAGTGAGTGGCCGTGTGTCAGTGAGTGGCCGTGTGTCAGTGAGTGGCCGTGTGTCAGTGAGTGGCCGTGTTTCAGTGAGGCAGTGTTTCAGTGAGGCAGTGTGTCAGTGAGGCAGTGTGTCAGTGAGGCAGTG